AATGTTGAAAAAAATGCCTAACAAACAGGGGCTATGTATCAAAAAGACTTTATATCCTTATTTGATTTAAAAGAGAAAGAAACAAAGTAATATGAAGATAAGTAAAAAGAAAAAAATTGTTCTTTTCCCACATCTCACCAGCCCACATTCACCACAAGCCCCATCCCTACCATAAACTACAATTAATTATAAATCATACAAAAAGCTCGTTTAATCCCAAATTCAGAATAAACAGTACCCCCAAAAGCTGAAGGAATCTTCTATTTCAACTTTCATCACATTTATCTAGAATACCGTTTCTAGTATATTCAACGTGTATGATACGAATCTTTATAAACAAACCCATTTTCGTAAAAGAAATTGTGACTAGTAGCCTTAGAAGTGGTCATTGTTGGAACCACACCCAGTGGAGTGGTGGCTACGCATTTTGGGTGCGGTAGTCGTTTTGTAGGATGTAATGCGAGACACATGTAATTGAATAAGAGAATAATTTGAATTATTTTTTAATATTCTAATATAAAATAAGAGTAGAAGAACATTTTCAAAAAAACTCTTCAAATACAAGACACTCTATATCTTAGAGAGTTAATGATTAAAAGTAAGTTTTGTGTGGTATCCATACTTGTATAGTTTTTAAAGGTTGAGGATGAAAGTGCCATAAATGAGAGGTTGAGGACCCCCAACGTCGCACTTGCTAAAAGTTTTATCACCTATTCCTGTTCGCCTGTATGTGTATTCTTATCATCCTCCAATTCTCGGCCATATCTGACTATATTATCGTCACGGCGTTGGAAAGTGTGCCAAAATCCTATATTTTTTTTCACATTAAATTCAATTCCATTTTTGTTTCCTTGAATGATATTTTTTTCTTATTTATTTATATTATTGTCAATTAATATCGCTTTCTCTCTGCATCGGTAACGCAAGTAGGAATTCGATTACTCTGTTAAATTCAAAAACAGGATAGAGAAAGAAGAAAAATCTGAATGGAATCAAGGGCTGAGCGACGTATTAAAGCAATTCAAGGACATTTGGTTCCCGCTACCGATGAATCATTAATAAGGATCTCTGCAAATCCCACCGCCGGCGAATTCTTTAAAGGTAATACATGCCTGCAGATTTTTATGTGTTATTGAGTTTTAAATGTAGGTTGTTTTGTTTATTTAGATTGAAGAATGAACGTTTGAATTATTGCGGGAGAGATTATTAATTGTGTAACAACTTCTATTGTACGTTTACATGCATTGGTGCTTTTCTATTTTTGTTCTCTTCCCTTCTTCCGATTCGGCACCAATTTTTGATTTTTCAGCTTTTATTGCTGACGGCCTATTTGGTGTGACTTTTAAGTCGAAAGCTGCTTTTTGAGTTAAATTAAAAAAAGCTGCTTTTTGAGTTAAATTAAAAAAAGCTGCTTTTAAATTTGTTTGATAATCTTCCGGGGTGCTTTATATTAGAGACAATGCTCTTCCAGTTTAGAAGACCTTTTATAGGATGCTGGTCTAGGGTGGAGTTCTTGGAACAGCATAAGCATAAGCATAGGCTATTCCAAACAGGCCTTAAGTACTACTTCTTTTATGATTGCCAACTCAAAATTTGATCACATCGTCACTTGAAATTTCCATAAAATCGATTTGCTACTCTGCAGCAAGAAAAGAACAAAAATCACGGGTAGAACTTGAATTTACAGAATTCTGATGGGGAATATATTTTCCAAGAAAACCAATCATCACTAACCATCCTCCGTGTATGAAAGAGACATAGTTAATGCCTGTCTAACACCCCTCATTTAATGAAGTAAAAACCTACTATCATTTCAATGTTTTATTAACATCAGAGTGACTACCCTCACAATCAGAAGCTGTTCCAAATGATATTTCAAGCTAAAGTGATAAGTAAGAATCTCGAAATGCTTATCAATTTAGTAAGGATGCCATTTTTGAACAACAACTTGTTAACTGCAACAACCAATACCTCTTCATCAAACAAGTCATCCCATATTTTAGGCGACGAGGCTTTTCTCAGATGCGTATTTTGTCTTCTATCTTGCAAAAGTACAACTTCGATACCTCCACCAGAAACATTACATTCTATAACAAATTCTTTTTGCACAAGGTAGCCTTAAGTGTCTCAAATGCTTTTTCAACCTCGAAATTCCAATTAATTGCATGTTTGACAAAGCTTTAATTATAATTTAATCTAGTCAAACATTGTTTTTAACACATTCTTTGGAATCCACAACTTTTGTCTACTTAATAATCACATATATTCCATGGGACCAATTCTTATAATCAACAAAAATTTATACCAAGCATACCATAAAATTGTCTTTCTTAAGTAGATCCGTGCTGATGTTGCCATTAGTTAGAAGCCTACAAATTGAGAAACACGGCGGAGAAATAAAAAAAAAATTAGATGACACTTAATTCTATGTAAAGTTGCCTAAATAGAAAATTATGGATGCTTATAAGAAATACAAGCTAGCTTAATGATAAAACCAAGAGTGTGAGTCAAGAGTTTCTAGAGAGCTTGTAATTTTATAGTTATTTTGGAGAGCTAAGATGGTGAGAAAGTTGCATATTAGGTATATTCATAAACTTAAAAGAGAAATATATATTTAAACCAAGTGCCTTTAAGATGAAATTGAAGATTTTTTTTTTCACAGGTATCTTAGTTTAGTTGATGATAGGAGGGATTTATGTTCGAATTTTAGCACATTTTCAAATCTAAATATTTTAAGTTAACTAGAATTAAGACGGGGATACATAGTTGTCCTTCTAGTCATAGTAGACTATAGATAATCATATTGTCTCAAAAAGTGATTGTTTTAGGTACTTAGTCCTTGTTTGACAACTATTATTTTGAAAAAAAACAAAGCTTTGAATAGTGATTTTTTAGGAGAACATATGGTTAAAAAGTAGAGAAAAATTTTGGGTTTATGTGCAGAATATTTTATTGAGTGAATAAATGGTTGAAAATGAGTATGTGGTAAAAAGAGTTTTGAAATAATGGTTGTCAAACAGGGGCTTAGACTTGATATGGTGTAATGCATACGGCTAGAGTGGTTGAAAAAATGCTATGGGATTCTATGTGATTGGAAGATAGCTATCAAATCAATAGGCCATTCAATACAAGACAGTTATTAGATTATCTTTCTTTTTATGGCAGTGAGTCTTGGGTCTTTAAAGGATAAAATGTTCATAAGATGAAAGTAGTAGAAATAAGGATATAAAGATGGACATTTAATCATACTAAATGTAGAAAATGAGAAAAAAAGATATATGCCGTTGTGTAGAGGTGGCACCAATTCAAGATAATTACAAATGAATTGTGACTTAAATGGTTGGGCTTGTTGGAGTATGTCTTGCTCAGACATAAAGAAAATCTCATATAATAAAGCAGTCAATCCTTATAGAATATATTAGAAGACGTAGAGTTAGGTTAATGACATGGTTTGATGTGGTTCAAAGGATTTGATTCCATTTGACACTTCAGCAGTTGTAGCGATGGATCAAATGGAGTGGTGAAAATTTATTCATGCTCCAGACCCCAAGGTTATTTAAAATAATGCTTAGTTTTTTTATTTTATTTTTTACATTGTTGATGGGTAATTTGGTATATTCTTCTTGCAAAGTAATTGCATTAAAAATACATGAAAACCTCGAAGAGATGTAATTGTTTTAAATACTTTGTAGGTAAAATTGTATTTAAAGCAAGGAAAAACCATATATTTAGTCTATGTTTAGCCCCTATTTTTTCAAAACTTATTTTCAACCACATATTTTCCCCTAAAATAACTTTACACATAAATTGAAAATTTTTCCTTATTTTTTATCACACATTCTTAAAAAAAAAAAATCACTATTTCAAAACACATTTCTTTAAAAAAAAAGGGCTCAAACAGGGGCTTAGAGGCTACAAATTCTAAATTGGTTTACCAATTTAGTGAAAGTCAAATATTAATTTCAACTTCAAATTCATAATTAGTACTCATTATCATCCATACATTTCATGGGATCTACAACTATTTTCTTACTATTCCTATTTATAAATCATTTATGAATTTGTCCAATGGAGGCTTAATTGTCTTTTGCTTAATAAAAAAAAATTTATGTGGAGGTGAGAAATTTCATGTACACTATATTAAATCAAAACTGGATTACCAACTACAAATTCATAACTACTACTTATTATCATCCACACATTTCATGGGACCTACTACTATTTTCTTGCTATTCCTATTTATAAACCATTTATAAATTTGCCAAACGGAGGTTTAATTGTCTTTTGCTTAACGAAAAAGAATTTATCTAGAGGTGAGAAATTTCATTTACACTATATCAAGTCAAAACTAGATTACAAGTAATGCCTCCCAAGCAGAAAATGGTTTTGAACCAGTCATTTGTTGAATTTAAACAAACTAAGGATAAGCAAAAGCCAGTTTGGAAGCTCGTATTTGATTTGGATAATTTCTGTTAAATCCTTGGAAATCTTCTTATAAATACTTCTCATGTTCTTTCTTCCAAGTCTATTATGGCTCCATTATCTTTTTAGTTACGATGATGTGCTTTTAATATTCATCAGGTCAGAGGTATAGTGTAGTTATTCCTGAGAAATTGCAGACCGGTAAATGGAATGTATACAGGTAGGCATCTACCCCATTTATTTGCAAAATATTTCCAATCATTTGTTCTATATATTCTATTTGGACCTTTTGATAATCGTTATTTCATGACAGATCCGCACTTTCTCCTTTGAAGCTTGTTGACAGTTTTCCAAATCATGCTGAAATCGTCACATTGCATGATAACTTTGTGTGAGTTTCTTTTCCCTATATATAGATACTATCCCTTGATATTCATTGTTTATTGTATGCGTAACATGCGAATTTTGATTTAGTCTTAGATCTTTTGGAACTTATAAAGCTGTACTGCAGCTATATCTGCTAAAGACCTGCTCTAAGTTAGTTATTTTTACTTCATGTTGGTTTTCTACACTTTGTGTGTGTTCAGGCACGCAGTTGAAACTTTCCAGGATTACAAATACTTGGGTACACGTATTCGGATTGATGGAACCATAGGAGAGTAAGTTTATTGGTGAAGCTACCTGCTCAGATTGAAAATTCTAAAGCAAGCTAACCTCAAAGATAATTTCATTTGTATGTATTCTTTTGATGCTGAAGATACAAATGGATGACATATGGAGAGGTAGGCATTGCTCGATCAGCACTAGGCTCAGGACTCCGCCATTTTGGACTACAACCAGTATGTTTTTTTATTTTTTTATTTTTTCACTGTTACATATATTTCTGCATTCAGTCAGTTGGACCATGCTATTAATCTATCCACAAGGAAAAAGTGATTCAAATTCCATTAAGTAACAAGCAATACACCAGAATTGTTCCGGACGGTATAAGAAAATAATACTCCTGCACGCTATCTTCTTTTTAATGTAAATATATCTACTTTTTTTCCTGTTTTGGTCTACTTAATTGTGGTTTTCATTCAACAAAAATCTGAATGTTAGGGTAAAGAAACTAACTTTAATATGGTCTACTTTCTAGAGCATTGACATATTGATTTTTCTTGGAGCAGGGAGCTTGCATTGGACTTTACTTTATAAATAGACCAGAATGGTTGATTGTTGATCATGCCTGCTCTGCATATTCGTTCACTTCAGTTCCTTTATACGATACGCTTGGTGAGTACGTGTTTGTTCAGTTGAGGCTTCACTGTTCTAGTTCATTAAGGTAGTGACCTTGTCTGGTTCATTTGCAGGTCCTGAAGCTGTTAAGTTTATTGTGAATCATGCTGATGTACAGGCCATATTTTGTGTGACCAGTACTCTAAACACTGTGAGTCTTTCTTCTTTATGCTTCTTAACTAGGGATCCCATGATAAACTCATTGAATCTATTGAACATTTCTCACTAGTATTATTTTCTGCTGTTGTACAATAATAATACCGATAAGCGTGAAGACTAAGGCCAGTGTTGTATTTATGTTGCCAATTCAGTTGCACATATTCCAGCTAAATGCATATTTGGTGTTAGTTATTAATAAACAATAACAATAAGCAAGAAGCAAAGACTTGCTCAAAAGGCAGACAGGTTTCACCTGATTTATGTTCTGTGTATTTGCTATAGGTTAATATGTTGTGAACTTTTATACCTTTTCTTTCTTTTGTGCTCCCATTTTCCTCATGCTGGATTGGAGAAGAAATAGATTTATGTTGTAGTTTTTTCTGAAGTTTAAAACAGATGCCATATTATTATCTTCTCACATTCCATTCTTTTTCCTAAACCTTCAGTTGCTAAGCTTCCTATCGGAGATTCCATCTGTACGCATAATAGTGGTATGTCCATTTAGAGCTTTT